AATAGCTCTTATTTTTCATTAAAACTGACGTTTAACAAAAAAGGCAGAGTTGTGCTTGTTATATTTCATTTTATGATACAGTGAAGATAATCAGAGTATATGTGCACATATTACCTAAACCACATATTAATGTTTTATATTTTTAAGAAAAAGTAAAGGCAGTGGAGTTTGATATCATTTCGTTTTATTGTAATGCATGAACCACATTTTTGAGGCTATTAATGTTTTAAATGAAACCGAAAAGAGGAAATGCTGTTTGATATAATATTTCGTTTCACTGTAATGTATGTACAGTATGTTCCCTGAACTACATTTTTGCGATTAATAATATGTTTAAATGAAAACAAAAAGAGGCAGTGGTGTTTGATATCATATTTCGTCGTATTATAAATGCATACAGTGTAGATAACCGGAGTAGCTAAGGCAAGTCAAGTACGCTGCTGTTCCATTTGCAAAATTACCAGACTTGTGTCCTCCCTAGTCGAACTTGCGAAGTCCGAACTACCGAGGACGCAAGTCCGAACTTTGTGTACTTGGTATTGAGAAACGGCTCAATTTTTTGAATTTTAAAACTTTACTCTCCTTTAACCGAAGCAAAGCATGCTGGGAACTAGAAATCTGCTGTAGCTCATTCCATACATTTTTATGTGTATGTATGTATATTCACATTTATATGGGAACATGTATGTGCAATATCTATTCAATAAAGAATCGAACTTTGTGAATATTAGATGTATTTTTGTCTACATTTCTAAATATATTTGTATATAACAATCTATAGCTATACATTGTCAATGCATATATTGCTGTATATTGAAAAATATAAGCACTGGTTTACCATATATGGAAATGTATTATGTAATATATTGCATTATATTTAGCAGTATATTCCCATATTATTTTTTAAGGGTAGGCCTATATTTAGAATAAATGACTGCACCAAGGAGAGGGACATAGTTTCACTGATAATTAGTTATTTTGCACAAGTCAATAAATTGTTTTAATTCTTTTGGAATACATAACACTTTAAAATCAATAACGATTTTCACACTAAACTGAAAAAGGTTGTTGCTGCTATTTTGTTAATTTGACAGGACAAAACACTGCAAGAAATGATTGACAAAATACATAGAGCAACAGCACAGGATACTATAAATAGAAGCGGGAGAGCACGTGAACCTATCATCTCTTCCTCTTTACTATTAGTTATAACACGAAATAGCCTGAGGCTAAACTCAATAGTTGGCAGCCAAATTTTGAGATTTCCTGAACAAATTTTATGAAAGTCACTGTTTAAGTCATATCTTTTACTGCAACAGAGTTCCACTTGCCTAACATTCATTATGTTTACATGTGTACTAGTAGGCTAATACACGCAGTTCAGTCACAGTGTCTTCAATCACAGTATAGCTAATGTGAGGTAATGTGCTCAGCAATCATATCATACTTTGTTGCTGCCAAGTTGGGGTAATACATACATTTCCTGTCATGGTCTACAGACCCTCTGGATAGCCTTGGCCACCCCATGTATAAAACTCTAGTTCTTCCACTGTACCTAGGCCTATGGAAAAAGAATGGCATCATCATATTTTAAAGCACATTCTTGCATCGACACTAGCTCATTTGGTGAAAAAAGGCTCACTATTTATGAAAATATATTATAAATAATCTTAAAGAATTTGGGGTCCTTGAAGTGCTACATTTTACAGACCTCAATGAGATATTTAAGTTAAAATGGATAATTGAGTACATCAAAAATAAAGATGTGTGGAATATATTTCCCAAGTTTATATTTAATTATTTGGGTGGCATTCATTTTCTTTTAAAATGCTATTTTTCTATTGACAAAATCCCAATTAAATTATTCCTTAAGCAGGCACTGCTGGCTTGGCAAATAATTGATAAGCAGAACTCTATCTTTAATCAGACAGCTTAATGAACATGGTCCGCAATATGTCATACTCAGAATTCCTTAAAAAAAAATCCTGTGAAACCAAAAGACAATGCTGTTATTTTTGATGCAATCCCAAGTAAAGTTGTATCATTACGTAATTCTGAATATTCTTCTGTTAACGCTGACCAACAACAACCATTGACTTATAGTGATATGATATTTATTGGTGATATTAATATTGTTAAAGATCAATGCAGTAAAACATATATTAGAAATGCGTTAAAGAAGAATTGTGCCATGTTCAACAGTCTTTTGGTCATCAAAATATGAAAACATAAGTGGAAGAAAATATGGTCTATAAGAAATAAGTTCTTTATAAATAATAAAGTAAGACAGGTATCTTTAAAATATTACCTGCAGTAAGACAGTTTTCCTCTCCCGCGGGTTCATTGACACTTGGGCACAATGCAACAGAAACAGCCATTGCGAAATCAACGCTGTTATGATTCAAGTAATCCGAGTAATTTTGTGGTAGTTTTAGCATTGAAAATCAAATTCATGAAAATGTGCAAAAGTCTATAGGCTCCAAAATTAGATTTAAGGCATCCACTGTTCATCAGACCATTTAGAATAAAAATGAAAATATAGGATCAAACAACAATGAACAAATGCCAACAGACTAACGAGCCACCATCTTGGATCATGCCTTGATTTCAAAACAGTTAGATCTGATAAATGCTAATTGGGTCAAAACTCTTTTGCTTTCTATTGCATTTGTGCATACAAGTAAGGTAACTACATGGACTCTTAGCAATGCTTTCTATATACCTGCATGTCTTAAGAGTCTGTTTTCCCCCAGAATCATTAAAGAATCTGCATGAAATTAATAGAGTTCCAATTAAGAGATGGGCTGCTAATAGTGCTAACAGGAAATCATTTAGCTTAACATCATAATCAAGGCCACTTTGCAAATGAGATTCAATTCTCTTTAGTAGCTTGTGTGTTTTCACCGCTGGTGTTTTGGTCTGTTTGGTTGCAGAGAGCTCTGTAAGCTTTGAACAGACTGATGAGCCAACTGATGACAAGAAGTCTTCAACCCAGATGTTTGATGAATTCGGTTCAGGAGCATCAGGTACATTTTCTGAAGCACCTCCTTTCACTGAATAGTTGAAAATTGCCTGTATCACATCCTGGCATAACCAAACAGCCCTGGTAACTTTCAATAATGATGATGTGCTTTTGTATGTTCATCTGCAGTCAACTCTCTAGGCAGTTTTGCTGCTGAACTTATTTCTACTCTGGACCAAGCAGAGCTCAACTCCTTCTCACTGTCCATCTCAGACAAGGCTGTTGATTTCCTCAAAGGCCTGCTGGTCACATGTGTCATGCCCTCAATCTACATCTTCATCATCCTCATTAGTTTGCCCCTGAACGCTTTGGCCTTGGTAACATTCACCTGTAAGAATCGAGAGAAGAAACCAGCTGTGATCTACATGAATCTCACCTGGCGTGTGTGGTCCTGCTCTTTACCCTGCACTGTGTTTAGGAGGGAAAAAACAGAAAAAACAACCTCACCGTGTAACACACAGACAAAATCCATAGATGTCACTAAAACCAGGCTTGCAGTAAAGTGTGAAAAAAACCTGATCAAGTATGTGGTTTTCATTCATTGCATTTCCGGTATATTTTATATATATATATATATACACACATATTATTCTGAATTGAAATGCTACTGCTTGTTGAGTTTATCTGATCAAAAGCAGAAGGGACATGTAACAGTTGTCTAGTCATAGATGTATTTTGCAAATACTGTTTGCAATGTCTTTTGAAAATGTTTTACTTCCCTATTTTTTAATGTCACATGTCATATTTTTCACACTCTCTTTGACTTATAGAATTCAGCAGGTTGTTTTTGCTATAGTACTGTTAAGACTTCTATATGTAATTGTCTGGAGTCTGTGATTGTAATTCAGTCATTCTTCAGTAAAGTACCGAAAAAGCATTGATATGTAAAATGCGAGAAGGCCAGATGATTTTCAAAGAAATTAGGTCTTGATTTTTTCACATTGTAGTGTGAAATAATAGTCCATGTAAAGATTTCTTTGTGGAGGAAAAAAAAAGAAAATGTTTGTCAAGAGAATATTTTTGTTTGTTTGTTTATAAATATATAATAAATAAACCAGTTATTACTTCATTAAAGTGGTACTATTGCTATCTGAAGCCTATTTTTAGGCCTATTTCTTAACATGATGCTCAGAAGCTGTAATAAATGTAGTGTATTGGAATAGTGAGGTCCCATACGTTCAGGCGAAACAGTTGCTGCAAACGGATAAAGTGCTGGCACATTGCGATGAAAAGAAACCCTTGGCAGTGGTTTGCGATGCCTCGCCCTATGGGCTTGGGGCTTTATTGTTTCACTTGGAGCATGATGGCCAGGAAAAGCCCATTTGCTTCACCTCCAGAACAATGACCACCACTGAGCGGAATTATGCCCAGATTGATAAGGAAGCATTGGCAGTTGTTTTCGCTGTCAGAAAGTTTCACCAGTACCTAGCAGGCCGCCACTTCGTGATTTTTACAGACCACAAGCCCCTGCTTGGACTCTTGCCCCATTCCAAGACAATGCCTGCCATCCTTTCAGCACGGATGCTACGTTGGAGTTTGATCATTGGAGCTTATGACTATGAGCTGTGTTACAGACCTGGCAAACAAATGGGCAACGCTGACGCCCGGAGTCGTCTACCTCTGCCTGCAGCTGACGCTGTTACACCACCACCGTTGGAAGTATTGCTACTGGAAATGGTGCCAGATGCACCTATGCATGCTGAAAGGATTTCTAACCTTACACTTAAGGACCCTGTCATGTCACATGTACTATGCTGGGTACTACATGGGTGGCCGGCTGACATACCAGATAGCCGGTTCAGACCATTCATTCCGCGCCGCCATGAACTCTCTGCGCATAAGAACTGTGTGCTTTGGGGAAGCCGTGTGGTTGTTCCTAGTTCGGCGCGGAGAGAGGTACTGGCTATGCTGCATGACGCACATCCGGGCATCGTACACATGAAGGGACATGGCAAGGAGTTATGTGTGGTGGCCGGGCATGGACGGAGATATAGAGGAAACTGTCAAAGCATGCAAAACCTGTCAGATGTCACGTCATGCACCCACTAAGGCAAAAGTGCACCCTTTGGAGTGGACAACAAAAAGATGGTCCCAGCTGCATATTGACTTTGCTGGTCCTTTCCAAGGCAAAGTATTCCTCATAGTGGTTGATGCGCACAGCAAGTGGCTAGAGGTGTCTCTGATGAGTTCCATGTCATCGGCGGCGGTTATTAACACACTGAGACTACTTTTTACAACGCATGGGTTGCCCGATGTCATAGTTTCAGACAATGGTGCTGCTTTCACATCCACAGAATCCCAAGAGTTTGCAGACCGCAATGGTATTTGTCATGTCACTACAGCACCTTATCACCCGAGCTCAAATGGGCAAGCTGAACGCATGGTACAGACAACCAAGGAGGCCCTGTCTCGCATCACTCAAGGTGAGTGGCAGACCCGACTTGCTCGTTTCTTGCTGTCACAGCACGTCACACCCAATTCATCAACTGGAAAAAGTCCTGCTGAGTTGCTCATGAATCGGTGACTGACCACTGCCCTGGATCGTTTACATCCTGACCATGGAGGTGATATGATCCGCAAACAGGAGCTGAGTGCTGAAAAGTACCCTGGCACTGTAAGAGAGTTTAGACCACATGACTTGGTGAATATGAGAAGTTACACCAGGGATGCTAAGTGGATTCCTGGAGTCATCATTGATGTCACAGGCCCCTTGTCATACAAGGTCAGGACCAGTGATGGGCAGGTGCACAGATGGCACGTTGATCAGCTGCTGGACAGGGTGGCACCCTCAGTAGGCTCTACCAGAGCCCTCAGAGGCAGAAATGCCTGAGTTACAGCTGCCCGCAATAGAAATGGAAAACCCTGGTGAGGAAATTGCTGGGGCTGAGACCATGTCAGAGTCCCCTCCTTCTAGGAAGTACCCCATGAGAGAGCATCGTCCCCCAAGAAGATTTTCAGATTTTGTGGACTGGGGGAAAGGGGTGTAGTGTATTGGAATAGTGAGGTCCCTTTAAGAGGGCGAAAGACTGGGAGGGGCGTTACTAGTTTTAAGTGGGGGTTTTGTCAGACTGTTCTAGGTGCTGGCTAAAGATGTATGTTCTGTTCTGCGTTGCATCGAACTCAGTAAAAGTTCTCAGATTACAACAGCCTCCTCCTGTTATTCAAGCATACAACATGGAGGAAGTATAGAGATTGTACCCTGCGCTAAAATTGCTCACATCGAGAGGGCACACTGATCTTAGCAATGTAATGAAGAGAAATGCCCTCAGAGTGGCAGAAGTTTAGATGGAACAATACAAGAACAATTTTCACATAGCCTGGTATATTGCAGTACAGGTATCATGAAAGAAATCCACTTTTATCATCTGTTGGACACATCCAAAGAAAGTTCTAGCAGTGTTGATTTTTGTGTTATTAAGAGCGAGGCATGACAATTATTTCTTCTGTTGACACATCAATTTACACGAAGAAAACAAAAATAACAACTTAATTCAACAATTTGTCTCCTCTGTGTCTCTCCACATCACCGTAGCGTCATTTTGGAGAATATCCGCTGAACACAAACTGCAAAAAGCGCAGCTGACACAGAAGAGCATACGCAGTTTGCGTTCAGCGCATATTCTCCAAAATGGCTGAATGAATGAATGAATGAATGAATGAATGACGCCTGGCTCATTAAAACAGTGACTTGCCGCCACCTATTGGCGGTTTTATTTTTAAGTCTACAAGTAGGCTATCACTTCAATTTGCCATCATTTATTGCTTTATTTATTATATTAATAAATAATACTCTTAATGGAATGTTAAAAATATGACATAAGATACAATTAATAAGGATAGAAAATCTTTGCCTCCATAAAGGTAAAAAAAAAGTTAAATGCCCCAGGGGGTACGCCGCTGTTAAAAGTTTGAGAATCACTGAGTTAAGATATAACCTCTTTTGCTTTACAGGTTCACTGACTCTACTATATTAAATTGCCGGTTTTAACCAGCTTGAATGTGTAAATATCTCTGCATATTAAATGATATGTTCATATGAATAATATGTGTATAATTTGTGCACATTTTCTCAGATTATTATATTTTATAACTGATCTGAGCGTGTATATTTGCAATATGGGGGCTAGTTGTCAAACAAGTTTATTTTATTATCTTATTTTCTCAAACTTTTAAGTTCTGGTCTCTAAATTTTGATTGGAGTAAAAAGTGTAAAAACTTACCCTGGTCTCCCCTATATCATATTATATTGCTGAAGTATCTAGTGTATATAATACTTTTCTCAGGTCCCAGTGACAAAACAGAAATGCTCAAATCTTGTCTTACAGCAGAGACAAGTTTGCCTATTCATATTCTGTCGCATTATATTTATCTGATGTACAGATAAGCATAACTTCCCCATTCCATAAATAACTATTTTCAGATCTGGACATCAGTTCTAAGCCACTAATTTCAAACATATTCAGTTATGTAGCCTATATAATTGACTGGAAGAAATATATAACAAACTAATGTAGTTACTGTTGTATGAGACCTTTTAATATTATAAAACTATGCCACAATGTGCATGTTTTCTATGCTACTAGTTTCAAGCCCTTGCGCAAAGAAAATATATTTCCTAAGATATGATCAAAAAATTTAATTATATAACAGTATATTTGAAAATATACAGAATAATATATTGTGTAAATGCATTACAGTATATTGAATAATACATAAGGAATTGCCGCTTTCATATATTAAAATATGACTTCCTATATAATTGTATAATTATATATTTCATATATAAAATATGTGGTAATTTATTTACTTATGTATCACAATGTATGAAATTTGATATTCAGTAAAAAACTTTATAATATATAGGTGTAGCCTATATGTGATAAGATATGGTACTGCATGTGTCACAATTCGCTGGAGCAAGGGAACGAGGAAATGAGGAGGTTTCACAAAATGAGAGTCTTTAATAATCCAACAGGGCGATACAGAGCACAAGGAAGACATTCAACAAGTAGACCCGACAAAACCAAACTGAACAGACTGGGGCTTATAAACACAGGGCAATCAGGGGAACACAGGTGCACGGAATCATAAAGTAATCAAACTAAACAAGAACAGGAAAAAAACATAAAAGGAAACACAGGAAGAACTACGGAGGCAAAACGGGTCCAAAAAAGGTGACTTGTGCGAACTTGAGGCAGCCAGGTATTCCAGAATGCATTTCGCACCAATCAGCCAGCGTTAATGGCGGAGGGGAAAACGAAAACCCCGCATATTTTTCAAAATATTACTGTTATTGTGTCATGAAATGCAGTTCTAAGAGTATTTCAGGCGAGAATGTAGTTGTTTAAACCTCAAATCTGCAGTTTATTTATAAAGATATCGCCTATTTGAAATTTTACTTTGCAGATGTCGGAGATGTGAGATCCATGTGATCAGCGGGCGCTCAGTGCTTATGTTTCCCCACGAGAGCAGCCTAACTAGTCCTTCTGACACTTGCTGCTGGCTCTAATGTCTCTTTAGTGGTTAAACATGAGGTAAAATTCGTTTTGGGTAGCCTATATCTAACAGATAATCTTTGGTCTCATTAATCTATTATTTCTTGCAGGTCATATCGTTTTGGCTGAGCACAAAGTTATGTTTCATAAATTATTTATTAATCGTAATACAGTGCTGACTTTGTTGCATACATTTGACTGAATTGTTTGCTTTTGTCTTTATTTCCTATTACATAAGTCTCATACTTTATACTTATATTTTTATAATAGCTCTTATTTTTCATTAAAACTGACGTTTAACAAAAAAGGCAGAGTTGTGCTTGTTATATTTCATTTTATGATACAGTGAAGATAATCAGAGTATATGTGCACATATTACCTAAACCACATATTAATGTTTTATATTTTTAAGAAAAAGTAAAGGCAGTGGAGTTTGATATCATTTCGTTTTATTGTAATGCATGAACCACATTTTTGAGGCTATTAATGTTTTAAATGAAACCGAAAAGAGGAAATGCTGTTTGATATAATATTTCGTTTCACTGTAATGTATGTACAGTATGTTCCCTGAACTACATTTTTGCGATTAATAATATGTTTAAATGAAAACAAAAAGAGGCAGTGGTGTTTGATATCATATTTCGTCGTATTATAAATGCATACAGTGTAGATAACCGGAGTAGCTAAGGCAAGTCAAGTACGCTGCTGTTCCATTTGCAAAATTACCAGACTTGTGTCCTCCCTAGTCGAACTTGCGAAGTCCGAACTACCGAGGACGCAAGTCCGAACTTTGTGTACTTGGTATTGAGAAACGGCTCAATTTTTTGAATTTTAAAACTTTACTCTCCTTTAACCGAAGCAAAGCATGCTGGGAACTAGAAATCTGCTGTAGCTCATTCCATACATTTTTATGTGTATGTATGTATATTCACATTTATATGGGAACATGTATGTGCAATATCTATTCAATAAAGAATCGAACTTTGTGAATATTAGATGTATTTTTGTCTACATTTCTAAATATATTTGTATATAACAATCTATAGCTATACATTGTCAATGCATATATTGCTGTATATTGAAAAATATAAGCACTGGTTTACCATATATGGAAATGTATTATGTAATATATTGCATTATATTTAGCAGTATATTCCCATATTATTTTTTAAGGGTAGGCCTATATTTAGAATAAATGACTGCACCAAGGAGAGGGACATAGTTTCACTGATAATTAGTTATTTTGCACAAGTCAATAAATTGTTTTAATTCTTTTGGAATACATAACACTTTAAAATCAATAACGATTTTCACACTAAACTGAAAAAGGTTGTTGCTGCTATTTTGTTAATTTGACAGGACAAAACACTGCAAGAAATGATTGACAAAATACATAGAGCAACAGCACAGGATACTATAAATAGAAGCGGGAGAGCACGTGAACCTATCATCTCTTCCTCTTTACTATTAGTTATAACACGAAATAGCCTGAGGCTAAACTCAATAGTTGGCAGCCAAATTTTGAGATTTCCTGAACAAATTTTATGAAAGTCACTGTTTAAGTCATATCTTTTACTGCAACAGAGTTCCACTTGCCTAACATTCATTATGTTTACATGTGTACTAGTAGGCTAATACACGCAGTTCAGTCACAGTGTCTTCAATCACAGTATAGCTAATGTGAGGTAATGTGCTCAGCAATCATATCATACTTTGTTGCTGCCAAGTTGGGGTAATACATACATTTCCTGTCATGGTCTACAGACCCTCTGGATAGCCTTGGCCACCCCATGTATAAAACTCTAGTTCTTCCACTGTACCTAGGCCTATGGAAAAAGAATGGCATCATCATATTTTAAAGCACATTCTTGCATCGACACTAGCTCATTTGGTGAAAAAAGGCTCACTATTTATGAAAATATATTATAAATAATCTTAAAGAATTTGGGGTCCTTGAAGTGCTACATTTTACAGACCTCAATGAGATATTTAAGTTAAAATGGATAATTGAGTACATCAAAAATAAAGATGTGTGGAATATATTTCCCAAGTTTATATTTAATTATTTGGGTGGCATTCATTTTCTTTTAAAATGCTATTTTTCTATTGACAAAATCCCAATTAAATTATTCCTTAAGCAGGCACTGCTGGCTTGGCAAATAATTGATAAGCAGAACTCTATCTTTAATCAGACAGCTTAATGAACATGGTCCGCAATATGTCATACTCAGAATTCCTTAAAAAAAAATCCTGTGAAACCAAAAGACAATGCTGTTATTTTTGATGCAATCCCAAGTAAAGTTGTATCATTACGTAATTCTGAATATTCTTCTGTTAACGCTGACCAACAACAACCATTGACTTATAGTGATATGATATTTATTGGTGATATTAATATTGTTAAAGATCAATGCAGTAAAACATATATTAGAAATGCGTTAAAGAAGAATTGTGCCATGTTCAACAGTCTTTTGGTCATCAAAATATGAAAACATAAGTGGAAGAAAATATGGTCTATAAGAAATAAGTTCTTTATAAATAAATAAGTTCATTGACACTTGGGCACAATGCAACAGAAACAGCCATTGCGAAATCAACGCTGTTATGATTCAAGTAATCCGAGTAATTTTGTGGTAGTTTTAGCATTGAAAATCAAATTCATGAAAATGTGCAAAAGTCTATAGGCTCCAAAATTAGATTTAAGGCATCCACTGTTCATCAGACCATTTAGAATAAAAATGAAAATATAGGATCAAACAACAATGAACAAATGCCAACAGACTAACGAGCCACCATCTTGGATCATGCCTTGATTTCAAAACAGTTAGATCTGATAAATGCTAATTGGGTCAAAACTCTTTTGCTTTCTATTGCATTTGTGCATACAAGTAAGGTAACTACATGGACTCTTAGCAATGCTTTCTATATACCTGCATGTCTTAAGAGTCTGTTTTCCCCCAGAATCATTAAAGAATCTGCATGAAATTAATAGAGTTCCAATTAAGAGATGGGCTGCTAATAGTGCTAACAGGAAATCATTTAGCTTAACATCATAATCAAGGCCACTTTGCAAATGAGATTCAATTCTCTTTAGTAGCTTGTGTGTTTTCACCGCTGGTGTTTTGGTCTGTTTGGTTGCAGAGAGCTCTGTAAGCTTTGAACAGACTGATGAGCCAACTGATGACAAGAAGTCTTCAACCCAGATGTTTGATGAATTCGGTTCAGGAGCATCAGGTACATTTTCTGAAGCACCTCCTTTCACTGAATAGTTGAAAATTGCCTGTATCACATCCTGGCATAACCAAACAGCCCTGGTAACTTTCAATAATGATGATGTGCTTTTGTATGTTCATCTGCAGTCAACTCTCTAGGCAGTTTTGCTGCTGAACTTATTTCTACTCTGGACCAAGCAGAGCTCAACTCCTTCTCACTGTCCATCTCAGACAAGGCTGTTGATTTCCTCAAAGGCCTGCTGGTCACATGTGTCATGCCCTCAATCTACATCTTCATCATCCTCATTAGTTTGCCCCTGAACGCTTTGGCCTTGGTAACATTCACCTGTAAGAATCGAGAGAAGAAACCAGCTGTGATCTACATGAATCTCACCTGGCGTGTGTGGTCCTGCTCTTTACCCTGCACTGTGTTTAGGAGGGAAAAAACAGAAAAAACAACCTCACCGTGTAACACACAGACAAAATCCATAGATGTCACTAAAACCAGGCTTGCAGTAAAGTGTGAAAAAAACCTGATCAAGTATGTGGTTTTCATTCATTGCATTTCCGGTATATTTTATATATATATATATATACACACATATTATTCTGAATTGAAATGCTACTGCTTGTTGAGTTTATCTGATCAAAAGCAGAAGGGACATGTAACAGTTGTCTAGTCATAGATGTATTTTGCAAATACTGTTTGCAATGTCTTTTGAAAATGTTTTACTTCCCTATTTTTTAATGTCACATGTCATATTTTTCACACTCTCTTTGACTTATAGAATTCAGCAGGTTGTTTTTGCTATAGTACTGTTAAGACTTCTATATGTAATTGTCTGGAGTCTGTGATTGTAATTCAGTCATTCTTCAGTAAAGTACCGAAAAAGCATTGATATGTAAAATGCGAGAAGGCCAGATGATTTTCAAAGAAATTAGGTCTTGATTTTTTCACATTGTAGTGTGAAATAATAGTCCATGTAAAGATTTCTTTGTGGAGGAAAAAAAAAGAAAATGTTTGTCAAGAGAATATTTTTGTTTGTTTGTTTATAAATATATAATAAATAAACCAGTTATTACTTCATTAAAGTGGTACTATTGCTATCTGAAGCCTATTTTTAGGCCTATTTCTTAACATGATGCTCAGAAGCTGTAATAAATGTAGTGTATTGGAATAGTGAGGTCCCATACGTTCAGGCGAAACAGTTGCTGCAAACGGATAAAGTGCTGGCACATTGCGATGAAAAGAAACCCTTGGCAGTGGTTTGCGATGCCTCGCCCTATGGGCTTGGGGCTTTATTGTTTCACTTGGAGCATGATGGCCAGGAAAAGCCCATTTGCTTCACCTCCAGAACAATGACCACCACTGAGCGGAATTATGCCCAGATTGATAAGGAAGCATTGGCAGTTGTTTTCGCTGTCAGAAAGTTTCACCAGTACCTAGCAGGCCGCCACTTCGTGATTTTTACAGACCACAAGCCCCTGCTTGGACTCTTGCCCCATTCCAAGACAATGCCTGCCATCCTTTCACCACGGATGCTACGTTGGAGTTTGATCATTGGAGCTTATGACTATGAGCTGTGTTACAGACCTGGCAAACAAATGGGCAACGCTGACGCCCGGAGTCGTCTACCTCTGCCTGCAGCTGACGCTGTTACACCACCACCGTTGGAAGTATTGCTACTGGAAATGGTGCCAGATGCACCTATGCATGCTGAAAGGATTTCTAACCTTACACTTAAGGACCCTGTCATGTCACATGTACTATGCTGGGTACTACATGGGTGGCCGGCTGACATACCAGATAGCCGGTTCAGACCATTCATTCCGCGCCGCCATGAACTCTCTGCGCATAAGAACTGTGTGCTTTGGGGAAGCCGTGTGGTTGTTCCTAGTTCGGCGCGGAGAGAGGTACTGGCTATGCTGCATGACGCACATCCGGGCATCGTACACATGAAGGGACATGGCAAGGAGTTATGTGTGGTGGCCGGGCATGGACGGAGATATAGAGGAAACTGTCAAAGCATGCAAAACCTGTCAGATGTCACGTCATGCACCCACTAAGGCAAAAGTGCACCCTTTGGAGTGGACAACAAAAAGATGGTCCCAGCTGCATATTGACTTTGCTGGTCCTTTCCAAGGCAAAGTATTCCTCATAGTGGTTGATGCGCACAGCAAGTGGCTAGAGGTGTCTCTGATGAGTTCCATGTCATCGGCGGCGGTTATTAACACACTGAGACTACTTTTTACAACGCATGGGTTGCCCGATGTCATAGTTTCAGACAATGGTGCTGCTTTCACATCCACAGAATCCCAAGAGTTTGCAGACCGCAATGGTATTTGTCATGTCACTACAGCACCTTATCACCCGAGCTCAAATGGGCAAGCTGAACGCATGGTACAGACAACTATGGAGGCCCTGTCTCGCATCACTCAAGGCGAGTGGCAGACCCAACGTGCTCATTTATTGCTGTCACAGCACGTCACACCCAATTCATCAACTGGAAAAAGTCCTGCTGAGTTGCTCATGAATCAGTGACTGACCACTGCCCTGGATCGTTTACATCCTGACCATGGAGGTGATATGATCCGCAAACAGGAGCTGAGTGCTGAAAAGTACCCTGGCACTGTAAGAGAGTTTAGACCACATGACTTGGTGAATATGAGAAGTTACACCAGGGATGCTAAGTGGATTCCTGGAGTCATCATTGATGTCACAGGCCCCTTGTCATACAAGGTCAGGACCAGTGATGGGCAGGTGCACAGATGGCACGTTGATCAGCTGCTGGACAGGGTGGCACCCTCAGTAGGCTCTACCAGAGCCCTCAGAGGCAGAAATGCCTGAGTTACAGCTGCCCGCAATAGAAATGGAAAACCCTGGTGAGGAAATTGCTGGGGCTGAGACCATGTCAGAGTCCCCCCCTTCTAGGAAGTACCCCATGAGAGAGCATCGTCCCCCAAGAAGATTTTCAGATTTTGTGGACTGGGGGAAAAGGGTGTAGTGTATTGGAATAGTGAGGTCCCTTTAAGAGGGTGAAAGGCTGGTAGGGACGTTACTAGTTTTTCCCCTGGGGAAGTGGGGGTTCTGTCAGGCTGTTCTAAGTGCTGGCTAAAGATGTATGTTCTGTTCTGTTCTGCGTTGCATCGAACTCAGTAAAAGTTCCCAGATTACAACAGCCTCCTCCTGTCATTCAAGTATACTACAATAAATTAATCCTGTTGGTATATTTTGTTCACATTTGGATAAAATCTGATTGTTCTAAGCTGCTGATGATAAACACAAAGCAGAACCATTCTTACACATTTTAGCAAATATGGCATTGCATGCAATCCATTCACACTTGTAAAACATAAGTTTACTTACTCTAATTGCGTTGGGACTTTATTAACCTTTTTGGTTTTTTAAGCATTAACATAAACTGGGCAGTGGATTCTGAGATAGTTGAGCACGGATGGCTGAGCATATACAGTACAAACACTCACGCAATCACACAATCACAAAATTGCATAATTTTCTACTTGTGTTTAATGGATGTCCACTAATGGAAATTGTGTAAAATCGATTATAAAGTAATTTCATTCAGTCATTCTGCGTAAGTGGAGACACACCCAAAGGAAACAACATCTTATATCATCCTATTGTGATTTGTGAAAGTGTCTTATTTTTTTGCTACGAGAACTAATGTTTAACATTGATAAACTGTTATCTAACACAAAAACCCTAGCTAGATTTAAACATATGATCTATTTAATTTTAATGTTGATTTAATGTTCATTGTTTGTGTTCATCAAAATCACACAAATTCATATTTTGAAACAGCATTTCAACAGGAATGGCGAACATCACAGACCTCCTGAGGGTGATGCTTAACTTTTTCTGAAGCACCTCCTTTCACTGAATAGTGCAAAAATTGAAAATTGCCTGTATCATATCCTGGCATAAGAGAAGAGCCTGGGCACTCAGTGACAGACGCAGAGCGGGTGTTGAGATTCTGACGTTTGATGACATTAAAGTCTAGCGTTAGATCTGATCAGTGATCATGGGGGTCAAAACTCTCTTGCTTTCTATTAATTTAGTGCATACATGTGGTAAGTACATCAGTAGTTAAAAGTACTATGACTTTCATGGCTTGCTAATCTGCTTGAATTCATATATTACTTTTTACAAATTTTTAACTCAGTACAGCACCATTCCAATTGGGGTGAAACAGACAAATACATTTTTTTAATTCATCCAGGCAGAAAAAAACCCCACTGCAATTGTTTAATTACAATAGACAGGTTGCTAATAGTACTTTTTACAGAAGATGGCCCTGTGTTTTGACTTATAAAGATAAACATGTTCAAGGCCTCTTCACTTCTTTCACAGTCGCTTTCACCTTTCTCGTAATGCCATCAAAACTTGATGTATTGTTTGTTTGGTTACAGATGGTGCTGAACGCAACTTCACTGTTACGATTCCTTTTCGGATGGGGTGTTTTATGGACATTATTCTGGAGACTATTCCAGAAATTTTTCCACAAACTATTCCATAGCAGAGCTTCCAGGTAAAGTTTCCAGACTTGCAGAAGCAATTTGTAACATCTGAGCTATTTGTGTAATGTGTGATCTTTACTTCAGTTCATTATCAAATTATTTTTCAAAAAGGAAGTGCTATGCATATTGTACAGTAAGTGACTGGCCATTGTTTGAGGATTTCAGGTTTCTATTTTTATTTTAAAGATTCTGGAACGAATCTCAGGAGGTGAAGCAAACAACTCAAAAAGTCACACAGAAAACATAGGTTCTGATTCAGTATTTTTACTGTAAACTGTTACTGTTTTACATGAATTCTTTAAATTTACAGCATCACCTTAAAAGCTTTTCACACAGCTTTTCTTAACTACGGGTTGTTGTCGTTCTAAACCAGGCTTTTAACTCCGAGTAAAGGAACATTTCACACTTGTAACATAAAGCAAGGTTGGTGTTATGAAACTTTACCCAGAGCAGAGTTAGCAATGATTTTACGGTGTTAAGGTATTATGCAAAATTCACTTTTAGATGGTGTTTGCATATAAATGTCTTAGCAGTGTGTGGACACAACCACAATGATAAAAATGATTGCATAGTTTTCGCCTTCAGCCAGTTGTGTTTAACAATGTCTCATAAGTGCTTCAGGTGTTTTAAGTTAACAACTTTATTAAAGTTTTTTTTTTTTTTTAGGTTTAGGTTGGATGTAAAAGTGAACATAAGAGTCTTCATTTTGTCTTGATGTCAGAGCAGAGGACGCGATTAATTTTATTTCATGAAAGGAATCTGTCCAAGAAATATATCCTATATGTTTGTACAAATCATCACAACACTGCTTTGAAAATGAGGGTCATTAAAACGCAGGACTTGCACAAAAAGATGGATCAATAACCAACTGTTTGTGGTCCAACTACATATTTGGGACATGCAATTACCTGACTTTATATTTAGTGAATGTGCTTGATAGCACGTTGTCTCTTACTGTATTAACAGAGGCCAGAGCTATGTTGTTATTTTTATTTCTTTAACCCGAAAACGCTCATCATTTGTATAATTCATAAACACATCTTTATTACTTCTTAAAAATAAAAAATAACAACATAGCTCTGGTCTCTATGTATACAGTCAGAGACAATGGTCACTTTAGCCACATTAGCCGTACAGTGTGTAACAAGCACATGCAGAAAGGCAATTTGCAAACATTTACAAAATATAAAGTGCGGTAATTACATGTTCTGGATGTGTTGGATCATGAACAGTTGGTATTGATCCATCAGATCCATCCATATTCGCTGTGTGTGATATTCTCTTTCTTTTGAAAACAGCTAAAAATTAAAGCATTATTTTATAAACTTAATGTCTAATGTTTTGAAGATTGACATAAGATAGCGCCACACTATACTAGTTGGAAGCAGTGATGTCAAATAACGCAAGCAGCGTTCAAGACCTCGTTTCCAAATAGGTGGTGGGAAAAATCTAAATTTTGAGTTGTCTGAAATGCAGCATTCGGAATGTATAGTGTGAAATGCCAGTTTTAGAATAGCCAGCATTAATTGTTAACACTAGGTAAATTATGAGCAGTGTGAACCGTGAAGCAAGATAACCCAGGATTCCATTTAACCGGGTTTATAAGAGTAAACTATTTCAAGAGTAAAAAACCCTCTATTCACTGATATTTGTCTGGTGGTGTTGTGAGAAGTTTTACAGTTGTTGTTTTTTATTATTATTTATTTTTGCATGTTGTTTACAGGTCAAATCATTACCCGTATTGTCCAAGTCCTTAAAGAAATTATTCAATTTAGACAGCCATGTAACAGCACTGATCTGGATGCAGTGAAATGCAACAAGACAACACAGGACGCATACAATATCACAGAGGATGCTGTTCTCTTCCTCAAAGGCCCAATGGCCACACACATCATGCCCTCATTCTACATCTTCATCATCCTCATTAGTTTGCCCCTGAATGCTTTGGCCTTGGTAACATTCACCTGTAGGATTCGAGAGAAGAAACCAGCTGTAATCTACTTGTCTCACCTGGCATGTGTGGACCTGCTCTTCACCCTGCTGCTGCCTCTGAAGATCCACTACCAGCTGAACGCTTCAGATTGGGTGTTCGGTGAGGCGGCGTGTCGTGTGATTAGTGCAGCTTACTACTGCTACATGTACTGCTCCATACTGCTGATGATGTGCATGAGTGTGGACAGGCCGCTGGCCGTGGCGTTTCCCATCGCCTCTTTGACCTGGAGGAGCACAAAGAAAGCCACATACATATGTGTGCTGGTCTGGCTGCTGGCGATTGCTGGTACGGTGCCACTTCTCTTCATAACACAAACATCCACGATTGAGAATGTGGGCGTCACCTGCCATGACGTGCTGTATCACACACAGCTGTATGTGAACTTGTTCTCCATCCTCTCTTGCCTCTACTTCTTCTTGCCACTGGGTGTCATCTTAGTGAGCTACTCCACCATCATATATGTGCTCCGTGTAAAGTCTATTCGCTTGGCAACATCATCCACAGACAAGCGAAGGAGAGCTGTGATTATGGCTATAGCTGTGCTGATGGAGTTTGTAATGTGCTTTGCACCAACCAATGGCATCTTGTTGTACCACTGTGTTCGTTTAGCCACCAGAGGCAGCGGTGAGGAGGGGAAATACTACCCGATGGCTGTATGTTTGGGGAGCGCAAGTGTTTTTCTGGACCCTCTGTTATACTACTGTGGCTCATCTCAGTGCAGACAGCAGATCAGCTCTCTGATTCGCTGGAGGAAGACAAAAAGCACAACTACACCAACAAACACAAACAGTCAAACAAAATACTCTAACCTGAGCTGTGAGTACACTCAGACTCGTGTTAAGGTGTGATATGATGGTGATTGTTTTGTTCTAAAGATTCATTTATAAATGCATAATCAGATAATTGCTGATTTACACAATGTATTCAAGTGCCAGGTTTAAATGACTGGATTGATATGTATATTTTTCATGTTTGTCTGTGCATATATATATATATATATATAAAACCTATAGCATATCATACTGTGTCTTTGAAATTTGAAAACATTGTATTTTTAACAAAATTGAAATGCCTTTAGTTTGTATCTCAAAAATTAAGGTGTTTGTATAGTCATGATTTCTGTTGCAATATGTAAATATGCATTATTTTGCAATACTGATGAGTGTAACTTCCCCATTTATAATCTACAGTACTTAAAATTTGTATAAATGTGAAGACAAAAGAGTTTTTTAAAAATAAAACAAAACATGAGCGTTCTCATTCCGTCAATGTCATATTTTAGAACACAGTCAACAAAAGTGCACTGAATAGTGCAATATTTATTTAACAGCCAATGCATCATATCGATGAAAAAGGTTTATCAAGATGTGCGCGGGCAGCCTGTGAACGACTGGGTGCTGGAGCAACATTAAGGAATGATAATGGAAAAATAAACAACAAAATTGGATTAAAAATGAATTTACATATACTGATGATGATATAAACTTGTCCTGGCAGCCAAATAAACTGAAAGTACTGAATACTGTAGGACGGCAGGCCTTTGAGCACATCAAGGCATTATATAATGAAATTATATTGGAGCTTTAGGGAAAATGCCCAAATAAACCATGATTTGTATATCTCTCATTTGGAGCTGTGATGTCTGTCAATTACAGCTGGATTTCTCATTCGCTCTGTAGGTGTAATGAATAGCAATGAACTTGGGCTCAGTGGAGGGTGGAGAGTCCAGTGATGTCACCATATCTAAATCCGAGCCTCTCCTCACAGAAGAGACTGAGCACTCAGAGAGTGAAGAAGCACTGTCTGTACTGAGATTCATCTACAGTTTGAAAGTGAATCCTGATCGGTACTCATGGGGGTCAAAACTATCTTATTTTCCATTATGCTTCTGCATGCATGCACTGCCACCTTTAACGGTAAGTACATCAGTGCAGTTGTGCATGACAGAAGTGTGTCTTTTAATTACAGTCTTTTGATGGTGTGCAGATGAAACCTTGACCTTATCATATTATGTGTGTAAGCTTGTTTTGTGTTGATTGCTGGTTTAAATTGTGTGATAGCTTAAAAGATTTTTTTACTTTTACTTTTTTTACCTTTTCATATACTATGGTATAATTTTCATTTACTATGCTATTTTTTACTTGAATCTAAATTGGCTTCATTTTCATATACTATGGTGTTTTATGGTACTCCAATTACCATATTAACTTCAAATACCATATTACCACAGTACAAAAAAACATAGTAATAATTTTTCTATGTATACAGGTTAATATATGTAAAAGTGTAAACAACAAATTTAAACAGTCATTTAAATTCAGTGAAGTGTTGTTTGTCTTGGAACAACAAGGTTAAACTGCACTTAAAGGATAGTTTACCAAAAAATTAAATTTATTTCATACTTTACTCAACCTCATGATCCAAATTCATGTTCCAAACATGAATGACTTTCTTTCTTCTGTGAAAAATAAAAGAAGATATTTTGACAAATGTCCACATTTTTGTCCATATAATGGAAGTCAACAATAGCCAAAACTGTTAGATTACCAACATTCTTTAAAAATATCTTATAAGAATTATCCCTTTGAATGTCCCACCATTGACAAGTACTGCATGCTATTTGAGCTTTTTATGTATGCTTGAAATTCAAATGAATTATTTACAATGCACTGACATCCACAAATTAATGTAAAGTGTTGCTGTTATGCCACTTTTTCACATTATATTTTACATAAATATACCTTCATTACCTTCATTGCATTTAGGTCACAAAATATGGTCATTTCCTGTGAACACTGGAGTCTTATTAATGTTTTCTATGAGTCTGCATGTCTTAGGAGTTTTTTTCTTTTTTCTTCAGAATCAAGAATCTGCCTGAAATCTGAGATCAAACAGCTAAGAGATGGGCTGCTAATGGTGTTCACAGGAAATGATTTAACTTGACATTTTAATCAAGGCCTCTTTGCAAATGGAACCCAATTCCCTGTAGTGTTTTCACCGATGGTGTTTTGACCTGTTTGGTTGCAGAGAGCTCTGTAAGCAGCTTTGAACAGACTGATGAGCCAATTGATGACAAGTCTTCAACGCAGATGTCTGATGAACTCGGTTCAGGGTCACCAGGTAGATTTTGCTGTCATGTTGTTCCAAACCCAAAAGACTGGTTAATCTGTGAAACACAAAGTAAAAAATGTATACTGTAACCTGAGAACTTTCTGTCCCTCCAATAAAAGTCCACACCTAAATAACAATATACAGAAAACAAATTCATATGGATTAGTTTTACAATGCTTTTATGAGCGTTTTGGATCTTCCAAGTTTTGGTTGCGTGGACTTTTAATGGAGGGACAGAAAACATCTCAGTTTTCATTAATAATGTACAGTATTTGAAAAATAATGTGTTTTTTGAACATTAAAGCATGTCAACATATTCTGTTACACCAAATACACAAAATAATGATCTTTAAAATAGCATCATATGACCCCTTTAAAAGATGAAGATGAATAAATGTATGTTGTTGTTTTTTTTACCACATGAGTGCAAGTAAATGCAGACAGAATTTTACACTTTAACACTGAAACTGTGATAAATAAATCCTCTACATGGCAGTGTTTATCCATATGTCTAGCTTTTGATTGTCTTTGTTGTTACGATCACTGGCTGGGGTGCCCTGGTTGTCCACTAGAGGGCACTCCATCCCAGACTTCTGACACTTTATCAAGGACTTCATTCCCCATAATCCTCTGACGGTTTTATCAGCACTCATTGTTTGCGCTTGTGTCTCATTTGCATGGTTAGCTCACCCTATATAAGCCCGGTTCTCAATGTCATTCTTTGCTTGTATGTGTCATCTGCAATTCTATGCCTTGTTCGCCTGTATCATGGTTTCTGGTCTTGTTGTTCTGCCTGTTTTCTGGATTACTCTGTTTGCCCCAGCCCCTTATTCTGTCGTTGTTTTGGTTTGCCTATATTTGTTTGACTTTTGCCTGCCATTTGGATTATGTTTGTGGATTACCCCATCAATAAACTACTCCATTTGGATCCTCTATCTTCTTGTCACCATGCAGTTTTATGACCATTGTTTATTTCACTTAAAGCCTTCATCAAAGCTTTTTATATAATGTGCCTCACAAGAACTTTCACTGTTGGTTTTGTTATTGTTACAGGCTTTGTTACATGCAGCTCTTCTACTTCCATAGTTCTGTATGAACAAATACACATTTTTGCCAAGCCTGCAATATCACTCATCTGAAAGAAGAAATATACAATGAAACTGCATGTCTTGAACACATTTGGTATCTCAGACGAGGTTATTGATTTCCTCGAAGGCTTGATGGTCACATGCGTCATTCCCTCGTTTTACACCTTCATCCTCATTAGTTTGCCCCTGAACGCTTTGGACTTGAAGTTCACCTGTAGGATTCGAGAGAAGAAACCAACATTGATCTACATGTCTACATGACTGGTTTAAAAATGTTTATTTATCTTTAGTTTTTTGCTGGGGGTTTTTCCCAGTTCAACTTAAATGCAGTCAAGTTTTTAAGTTAATATTTAGATTTTATTTTATTTCATTCCAGTTTAATTTAAGTAACAAAAAATATTTTTAATCATTTTAATGTTAGTTTTAGTTAGCATTAACAACACTGTGCTGTATATAATACAGATGGGTGATAGAAATCTGGTTATTTATTTATTTGAATTTATACATATTATGAGAGTAAAAGCTATTTATGGATTGTTAGTGTATAACATGTTTTTCATTGGATTTTGTTTGCAATGAAGAAAGTATATTTCACAATAAAGCACTATTGTTAGTTGGTTTCTATCAGTGGTGAAGGTTTCATTAAACATTGCCAATTGCTGTATATCATATTTCATTTATCATCCCTCATAAGCATCATAAAGTGTATTTATGCACTATAAATATCCTGAAGCTTGAATTTCAATTCCTTTAATATTACATAATCTCCATCCAAGCCTTTTTGCAAATGTGTCCTCCTCATAATTATTGTTTTATGGTATTATGAGAGCTTTCACTAATGGTCTTTTGTGTTGATTACAGATTCTGGCTGTGCTCCGCTGTCTTGCCACAAAAACATCATTAATCTGAACTCTTCATCAACACAGAGTAATATGCAACACAATCTCATAGCAATTCATAACTATAACCACTGACAGTTATGTTTATGGGTGCACACTTACTTTTTTTTGTAATAATGGTATGTTTTTGTATGATTAACATTGTACAAATGCACACAAAATCGCCTCCTCATAATATAGTTACATTTTCAGGTTGGTAATATTCTGGGTGCAGTGACTTAATCATCAGACCACACCATTCCCTAAGTCATTCAACATATGTAGCTGTTCATGTGTTAAAGTTGATTTTGATATTGTCTGGTAGTAGTATGAGAACTTTCCTCATGGTGTTTTGTGTTGGTTACAGGTCCTGATTACAATAAACCTACTATAGGTGTGTTTTTAGGCAGTTCTACGAATAAGAGCAGTACTGACACACTTAACATCTCAGACAAGGCTGTTGATTTCCTCAAAGGCCTGCTGGTCACACGCATCATGCCCTCGTTCTACATCTTCATCATCCTCATTAGTTTGCCCCTGAACGCTTTGGCCTTGGTAGCATTCACCTGTATTCGAGAGAAGAAACCAGCTGTGATCTACATGTCTCACCTGGCATGTGTGGACCTGCTCTTCACCCTGCTGCTGCCTCTGAAGATCCACTACCAGCTGAACGCTTCAGATTGGGTGTTCGGTGATGCGGCGTGTCGTGTGATCAGTGCAGCTTACTACTGCTACATGTACTGCTCCATACTGCTGATGATGTGCATGAGTGTGGACAGGCTGCTGGCCGTGGTGTTTCCCATCACCTCTCTGACCTGGAGGAACGCAAGGAAAGCCACATGTGTATGTGTGCTGGTCTGGCTGCTGGCGATCGCTGGTACTATGCCACTTCTCTTAGTGAGACAAACAGTTAAGACTGAAAATGTGGGCGTCACCTGCCATGATGTGCTACGCAAAAATTACACAACAGTAATGTATTATGTGTACCTGTTCTCCATCCTCTCCTGCTTCTACTTCTTCTTGCCTCTGGTCATCTCCTTTGTGAGCTACATCACCATCATATATGCACTTAGTGTAAAATCTGATCGCTTAGCAACATCATCTTCATCTTCAGACAACCGAAGGAGAGCTGTGATTATGGCTGTTGCCGTGCTGACTGAGTTTGTGTTGTGCTTTGCTCCAACCAATGGCATCATGTTGTACCACTGTTATCTTTTAGCTAATGGAGGCCACCGTGAGGGAGATTCATCATATGCGGCTTACCTGTTGGCTGTGTGTTTGGGGAGCGCAAGTGTTTTTCTAGACCCTCTGTTGTACTACTATGGCTCGTCTCAATGCAGAAAGCAGATCCGCTCTGTGTTTTGGTGCAATAAAGCAAAAAAGAGAGCAAAAACGCTGTCAGACACATAAAAACCTCTCACTGCACTACAGCTTCACAGGAAAAATAAAAGCAGATCTCTCTTAAAACAACATCTAGCCATTTTCTGAGCTGTATCCTTTGTTTGCTTGACAAGTTCACCACATGTATTTATTTACCAGTGTTTACCAACATGGAATAAAGTGCAGGTGTTCATTGTCTCTGTATGCACACATACAGTATATTAGCAATATTGTGTTGTGTCAGTGAAGGTCTTGGAGAATATTGTTCATAATACATAACATACTATTTATATTAATAAATAAAATAAAAATAAATAAAACCTGTAATAACATTTGACTGAAGCCATTTGATCACTGATTGTACTCGCGTCTTCATTCTACACTCGCACAGAAGATGTGATAAAGCAATTCTCTAGGTGGTTATCAATATGTCTACTTTCAGTGTATACATGCCGTTGTGTTCAATGCATTTTAAATTTGCTAGACTAGCTATTTCCTAAAATGCATTACACCAAAACCGTGAGTAGTTCATCATTAGTTATAATAAAGCTGTCGGAGTTCATTTTGTTTCGACTCGAATTTGAGTCCTGGCACGTTCCTCACTCATCCCACTTTGATAAACAGTAATAAATTATATCGTCACCAAGCAGTTAGTTCTTAGTGTCACAGTTAAATATTGTTTTCTTTTTTTACATTGAAAAGAGTCAGATGTCAATGAAAACCCAATACTACATTACTTATTGATTTGGCGCATAATTTTTTGTTATTGTGAGCCATTTTCCAATATTTAATAAAATACACCTTGGTGAACAGTTATGTTGCTATTCATTTAACATGTTTGGGGTAGCAGAGACAATTATTAGTTATTTTCCCTTCCAATTCTTTCAAATTTTTTGAGTCACATTAACAAAGTAGCTACTTTACATTCCTGTCAGTCACTATGAAATGCAGATACTATGAATCTGTAATATTATTTGTAAACTTTTGATTGAAATTGCCTAATTTCTTGGTGTTGGTATTGGCGCACAGTCACTACGAACGTGCAGATCACTTCAGGATGTCCCAAAATCAAAATTTCCCATCACACATCAATGGTTCCTCAAAGTCATTAGCATCAAGTTTCCAGATCTGCTTATTACAGGCAACATCACTTGGGCTCTTACAAATTCTGTGGATATTTGTGTTCTAACCACATGCATCAATGTATGGTCAGGAGAGTGCAAAGCTTCAGACCGTAAGACCCAGAAATGGATTGTGTAATTTCCCCTTCACTGTGATTTTTTCAGTGTTAGCAAATTTGCATAAACTAAATATATTGTTGATCATTAATACAAAAAACTTTAGAAACAAATTGACAATATGCATTAATACGTGAGGGGATGTTTCGCAGAGGAGAAAATGTATTGAAATACTGGTAGCGCTTTTGGGTGAGTCACACCCAAACCAGTCAACATTTATTTATCTTCCCAGCTGACGCACTGAAGACTTCAGTGATGTCACCTCATTTTAAAGTGCATCCTTCCATCTTCGAGTGATTAGAAATCACTTTCTTCAGCACAACACTGTATGGCTGTGTCTGTCCATCTAGAGATTCTAAAGTTTGACGATTGTAAGTTGTGAAATTCTTGAAACTGACAGTTAATCGGAAATCATGGTGGACTTCAGTGAATTTCCTTCATTTACGGATCATTCATTCAACGGTAAGTACATCAGTGATCTGACATGATCTTCAGTTGTGACTTGCTGATGTGCTAAAAAATGTATTTACCTAGCTTATTAGGTAAAATAGTGCAACAGTTATTTATAATTCTGATGATCTGTAGTTGTTATAGTAAATGAGATCTGTTGTCAGATGGGTTTTTTTTGCACTAAAGCCAGTAAATTAAAGGATTGACTGTGCTGTGTTTTGTTACAGATTCTGGCCTCGTTAACTATTTTCCACTGATGATCTGTAGTTGTTATAGTAAATGAGATCTGTTGTCAGATGGGTTTTGTTTTGCACTAAAGCCAGTAAATTAAAGGATTGACTGTGCTGTGTTTTGTTACAGATTCTGGCCTCGTTAACTATTTTCCTTTTGGCTTTTTTAACCAGACAATTAAGAGACAAGTACCAATGTTTAAGAGAAATAATAGTGCAGTGATTTACAATAACCAAACTATAACATCCTCTGGGCCATTGGTCGCCCCACATGAGGTCGTTCTCCTCTTTAAAGGCTTGATGGTCACACGAGTCATGCCCTCGATCTACATCTTAGTCATCCTCCTTAGTTTACCCCTGAATGCTTTGGCCTTGGTGACATTCACCTGTAAGATTCGAAAGAAGAAACCAGCTGTGATCTACATGTCTCACCTGGTGTGTGTGGACCTGCTCTTCACCCTGCTGCTGCCTCTGAAGATCCACTACCAGCTGAACGCTTCAGATTGGGTGTTCGGTGAGGCGGCGTGTCGTTTGCTTAGTGCAACTTACTACTGCAACATGTACTGCTCCATACTGCTGATGATGTGCATGAGTGTGGACAGGCTGCTGGCCGTGGCGTTTCCCATCGCCTCTCTGACCTGGAGGAGCACAAGGAAAGCCAGATGTGTATGTGTGCTGGTCTGGCTGCTGGCGCTTGCTGGCATAGCACCACTTCTTGCATTGAGACAAACATTCCGTTTCAAGAATCTGGGAGTCACCTGCTTTGACTTGTTGGACGACGACTCTTCAATGATGTTATACTTATCCGTGTTCTTAATCATCCCCTGCATCTACTTCTTCCTGCCGCTAGTCGTCATCTTAGTAAGCTACTCTACTATCATATATGTGCTCTGTGCCAAACATGATCACTCAGCAACTTCACCATCTTCTTCAGACAACCGAAAGAGGGCTGCGATTATGGCTACTGCTGTGTTGACTGAGTTTGTAGTGTGCTTTGCACCATCTAATGGCTTCCTGTTGTACCACTGTGTTTGTATAGCCATGGGAAGCAGTGGGTTGGATACCTATTTGGCTTACCTGTTGGCTGTGTGTTTGGGAAGCTCAAGTGTTTTTCTGGACCCTCTGCTGTACTACTACGGCTCGACTCAGTACAGACAGCAGATCTGCTCTCTGTTTTAGGGCAGCAAGGCAAAAACAGTGAACACACCATCAAACCATGCCATCATACTATCAGTCACACTCACACAAAATCCTCTCATCTAAGCTGTTCTGTAAAACAAATAAGTAGCCTAAATAAAAAGCAGATCTCGCTTTAAATTATTTACACTGCATTCAGAGGTTTCATTCGTTCATACATACTCAATCTACAGGAATGATTATCTGTCTGCCTACTATCTAGTTAGTAAATGTGTGAAAGAGAGATAGTAACTAGACTACTGTTTTACTAGACAAGTGTTTATAGTAATCTGTCTGTTGTAAACCGCTGTGCAGAAGTGTCGTTTGCTTAGTGCAACTTACTACTGCAACATGTACTGCTCCATACTGCTGATGATGTGCATGAGTGTGGACAGGCTGCTGGCCGTGGCGTTTCCCATCGCCTCTCTGACCTGGAGGAGCACAAGGAAAGCCAGATGTGTATGTGTGCTGGTCTGGCTGCTGGCGCTTGCTGGCATAGCACCACTTCTTGCATTGAGACAAACATTCCGTTTCAAGAATCTGGGAGTCACCTGCTTTGACTTGTTGGACGACGACTCTTCAATGATGTTATACTTATCCGTGTTCTTAATCATCCCCTGCATCTACTTCTTCCTGCCGCTAGTCGTCATCTTAGTAAGCTACTCTACTATCATATATGTGCTCTGTGCCAAACATGATCACTCAGCAACTTCACCATCTTCTTCAGACAACCGAAAGAGGGCTGCGATTATGGCTACTGCTGTGTTGACTGAGTTTGTAGTGTGCTTTGCACCATCTAATGGCTTCCTGTTGTACCACTGTGTTTGTATAGCCATGGGAAGCAGTGGGTTGGATACCTATTTGGCTTACCTGTTGGCTGTGTGTTTGGGAAGCTCAAGTGTTTTTCTGGACCCTCTGCTGTACTACTACGGCTCGACTCAGTACAGACAGCAGATCTGCTCTCTGTTTTAGGGCAGCAAGGCAAAAACAGTGAACACACCATCAAACCATGCCATCATACTATCAGTCACACTCACACAAAATCCTCTCATCTAAGCTGTTCTGTAAAACAAATAAGTAGCCTAAATAAAAAGCAGATCTCGCTTTAAATTATTTACATTGCATTTAGTGAACACCTTTATCAAATGCAACTTACACTGCATTCAGAGGTTTCATTCGTTCATACATACTCAATCTACAGGAATGATTATCTGTCTGCCTACTATCTAGTTAGTAAATGTGTGAAAGAGAGATAGTAACTAGACTACTGTTTTACTAGACAAGTGTTTATAGTAATCTGTCTGTTGTAAACCGCTGTGCAGAACGAGCTGTTACTGTTCAGATCTATCTATCTATCTATCTATCTATCATGTCACCCATATCCCTGTCTCTCTTAATAAATAAATAAACAAAATAACAAAACCGGTACAAAAGCTTATAAATCATACAGAATTAAGTTTTTTGAAAATCTAAAAATGCAGAAAGTTTCCTGTAAGGGGTAGGTTTAGGGGTAGGGTTGGTGTAGGGCAATAGAATATACGGTCTGTACAGTAGAAAACCCATTACGCCTATGGAGAGTCCCCACAAGGATAGCTGCCCAGACATGTGTGTGTGTGTGTGTATAAAATTTCTTTTCAGACTGCAGTTTCTTGTAACATGGTTGTCATAGTAATGTGTGGAGATTCAGTGCATTGTGAGTTCCACAAATCTGAACGCATTATTTGTAAATTGACTATACATTTTGAACCATTTATCACCTGTAATACCATTGTGTAGACACTAGATGCCTATATATAGCCTTATATAAAATATATATAAACATGTTTGCGCAATCCCTAGTTGCTAAGAAATTGTCATCACACAAAAATAAACTGTATTACATTTGTTTTTGTTTAGTTGTTGTTGTTTGAAACATTGATTTAAAGTGTCAGGTTTTGCATTATTATTTCAATCAAACATATAAAAACCTTTGTTACCCCAAACTACATATAACAGCTTGATCAGTCACATAAAAGCAATCAGAATGCAGCTACTTATTCCCTCCTGATAGCACACGTACATCTCGAAGACGTCTATTTGACGTCTGCATTTACATCTGCAAGATGTATTTTTTAGAGAGTTTGCTCATCTGCAATATGTCTTATAGGACGTTTCCTTTTAGGTGTCCAATAAATAAAAGAATGATTTAATAAAAAATGAGAATGATTAGTAATTGTCTCTCATTGGCCTGATTAGCTAAAACCTAAAAGGTAATATTACAGTCTTAAGGCCTCTTAATGTAATATGGCCCCCCCCCGATTCCAAGCTAGTGGCGTGTGGCGTTATTTTAACGCGTGGTGGCGTCTGCCGTTAACTTATCGCCTAACGGCGTTTTAATATTGATACGGCGGTGAAAAGCACGCGAATTATGACCCATATGGCTTTCCATACATATGCCTTTCCATACAAGAGACCTTTAACAGACATCTTGCAGACGTACGTGTGCTATCTGGGTCGTTACTCTTTGACGCGTGAACTTCCCCTTTAAATAACGCGGCGCTCTGCCCTCTATATAACGCTGCTACTAGCGCTGTTAGAAATGAATAAATTAATTCCGCATTTCGACACTTCTGTAAGAATGCGTTAAATTAGACAAAGCGGTTTAAAAAATTATGTATTGATCTTGTGAATTAGAGAATTTTACTATACCAATATTTTTTTATTGGCCGTTAAAGTTTTATATGTGAATATTGCACAACACACTGATCCTTTAACAATGCATCGGCGCAAAAACGCACACCTTTTGAATTAATTTCGCAGCGTGATTTCTCGAGTGCCACAATTAATGCCCTAACAAAGTACTGATTTATTTTTTAAAAATTAATAATAAAAAAAATCTAGGCTTCATTCAGGCTAGGCTTGTTTTCTTGACATTTTTAATTAATAAATGAATAATAAATTGCAATAAAAAAAAAATTTAAAACTGAATTTAAAACCAGAGTATATTATAGAATATATTGAATCAAATTAGGTTAATATTTCAAGAAGGTTACCAACGGGTATGTTGATAACTTTAAAATAATAATACAAATTGAATCTGAGCACATCGCGGATGGTTATTATATTTTAACTGTATCTTCATAAGAAAAGAAGAGACAGCACTTCCTATAGCTAGTCCCGTTCCTAGTCCCGTTAATTCAGAAATTAAAGAGTGACTAAACAGGGCGCATTTGTTCTTACAAATGAATGGTAGCCTACATTGACGTTTTGTGTTTGCTGTAACCGAAGACATATATAAAATACATATATAAATGTGTCACCTGGTCACAGCTCTTCTGAATCTGAAGGGTGTGGCCCAGGTGAGGTCACATGTCTTTGACGGACGGTGAGCTCCACAGTCCACACCTGACTATAAAAACGAGCTGAATCTGTTAACATTAATGACGGAAACAGTCCACGCTTCCACAAATACAATCGTTCCAGTTAATCTCGCAGGAATAATGGCGCACCGACTGATCTGGATTCCCGCTTTGCTTCTCTTAATCAGCGTGAACCTGTCTAGTCAAAGTAAGAGTTTGTTTTCCTGTTTATAGTTCAAGAGAAGTGTTTCAATTGACGTTTTTTCCATATTCTTTTAATGTTTCTCTGGCCTAAATCTATTTGGCAGATATTAATGACGCTCTAGGCCTCTGTTGAATGTACATGTTACTTCTGGTACACATAAGTGCACTCGTGGTGTATATACGAAGCAGTATATTTTATTATGTAAAAATGTATTATGTTTTGTGTAACCAGTGTGTGTATATATGCAGGCTATGAGTTTGATTTCACATTGTTTATAGCTGCCTCACCTATCAAGTATGTACCAATATTGAATAACAAAATGCCTGAGGTTTGTAATGCATGTTTTTTGCTGCTGTATACAGTATAGCCTTTGTTATGAGTAATAATAGTGTGGATCACATCAGACATGTTTGCTCCTTTACAGTAGACAGATTTCATAGCTTACATGCTGATGCAGACCCATGCTGATTATTCATGAATCATTATGTCTTTCTGTCTATCATTGATCAATCTATTGTTCTGTCATTCTATTTTTATCTATAGGTTCTGACACAGACAGGGGCTTTACTGGTGATGAAACTGAGAATGGAGTATCAGTGACGTCCACTGCTGTTGCTGTACTGGACAGCAAGCTCACCCAGATCTTCTTCCCAGTGGTGTACATCATCGTCTTCAGTGTGGGCTTGCCGGCCAACGCTATGGCCATCTGGGTGTTCCTCTTCAGGACGAAGAAGAAACATCCCTCATCCATTTTCATGGCCAACCTTGCGCTGGCAGACCTGCTGTTTGTAATCTGGATTCCTTTAAAGATCGCGTACCATTTTAACGGGAATCACTGGATCTACGGCGAAGCCCTGTGCAAAGTCCTGGTGGGCTTCTTCTACGGGAACATGTATTGTTCAACTGCTTTCATTGCATGTATTAGTGTCCAGAGGTACTGGGCTATAGTACATCCTCTTTCCCAGCAGAAAAGGAACAACAAATTGGCAACTGGTGTGTCTGTGTGTGTGTGGCTGGTTGTGTGGGCCATTACCGTGCCTCTTTTTCTTTATGACCAGACCGTGAAGGTCACAAACCTGGATATCGTTACCTGTCATGATGTCACTCGCCCCAGCCAATCACGCTACCCTTCGATATACTTCCTGATTATGGGTGTTGTTGGATTCATAGTTCCCTGCATAATATGTATAGTGGCGTACGTGCAGATGCTACGTGCCCTAAAGAGCTCGATGACAGACACTAACATCGTTCAGAAGCGAAGGAAGGCTGTCATCCTCATCGTCACTGTGCTGGTGATGTTCCTAGTGTGTTTCACCCCGAGTAACATCATGGTTATGGTGCATTACTCACTGCTCTCGATGGGAGTACAGGACAGCGGTTACGGCTTCTATATTACAACGCTATGCCTGGCCAGCCTCAACAGCTGCGTCGATCCGTTTGTATATTATTTCATCTCGGATGAGTTCAGAGAGCATGTAAGAAACACGTTTCTTTGCCGCAGCGAACGCACCGCGCAGAGGATGCGGGTTTCCTTCAGTGCACTGAAGTATTCAAAGAAAAACAGTACCTACACGTCAGACTCTGGAAACACGCAGAGCACTTCCTACTAAGAATGACAGATAGAGAACTGTTTTAAATCTGTGCTATGCTCTGATGCTCTACAATACATCTTGAAAACTATATAAGCTCTTGTTATTTTATTATTAAATGTTGTAAAGCCTGGAGGAACAACATGCACTGAGTTAGTCAGCATTTAACATGTAATTCAGTCAACGAGTAAACATCTTTTTTTTCATAATCTCACATAAATTGAAGATCTTAAGACCTTAAAAGGACATCCAAGGGTTCTCACTTCTTGGAACTACAAATTGGCCTCCTGTTTGATGACATAGTCAGCATGGAAATATTGAAGTGTTGTTATTATTGTGTTGCCATTACGTCACTACAGGTTGCCTTTTTAAGACCTGAAAATTGTTTGGTCTGTTAGGTTTAGTGGGATTTCTCAGAATGACCTTTAATCCAGTTTGGTGGAAGATGACTGAATAACTGGAGCTGTTATATATTTTGAGCACCTGTTACAGAAACCATTTTGCATTTATTCCTATTTACATAAATGCATGTACAAGTATCTCTAAAAGAATGTGAAATGTTTTGTGAGTGAATCACACCAGTGGTGACCAATTTTAGATGTGTGAATACATAACCTCATTCACATGTGTTCTAACGCACTAAATGCTGGAATGGTAGCACCGTTCATTGTCTCATTTTTATGCATAATCTTATAATTATTGCACACCTGTACCCCACTTGGTTTCAAAGCACATGGATAGGTTTTAATGTTGTTTTGTCTGTGGTGTATTTTGTATTTGTCTTTTTTTTTTTAAAGAATGGCCTGCATTTATTGATCAATAAATTTGTCTTTCCATGTC